AACTGTCACAGCCCGACAGCTGTATCAAGTAAATGAAAGATTACAGGAGATACCACTCCGTATATATAATGGTTGAGGGGGGGGGAAGGGCCAGGAATGGTCCACTTTTATTATTATGGTAAGGTGCGGTTTGAGACTATGAATAGACTGCATAACAAAAGACTGAGCCTTTATTATGGAGAGGTTCGGTTTGTGACTACGCCTGGCCTACATAACAAAAGTGTGAAAAAAGAAAGCTAAACCTGGTAGAAAGCTAAACCTGGTAAAACAAAATTGGCTATCTATCAGTAACCTGTAATAGTTTTATGTCCAATAAGATGGTCCAAATAAGTGTAGTTAAATCTTTTTTGCATGGTTAATCACATCTTTCCAATGATTACTCAGTTTGTAACCATCATCACGGTTGAAATTATGTCTGTGTTTGTATATTTGTATGGCTTCGTGTACAAACCTTTGAGGGTAGCCAGGAGGTTTGCAGAGCACTTTGGTCTCGGAAAAGACAATTTCATGAGAGCCCACAAAGTTGTAGCAATGATCGGCAACGGCCGAAGAATCAGTTCTGCCGTGTTTCAGATCTGACTTGTGCTCGCGGACACGATCAGAAACATGACGTTTCGTTTCTCCAATGTAGCAATCACCACAACTGCAACTCAATTTGTAGACTCCAGGATATTGTAAGTCAGGAACGACATCCTTCACAGATGGAATCAGATCACGGATTTTATGCATTGTACTGAATCGGACTTGGATCTTATGTTTGTTTAGAATTTAGGAGATCTTTTTGGTCACGCCTGCTATGTATGGTAACGTGATAGTTTTGGTCGGAGTTTCATGTGGCTGTTTCTGTATGGTGGGAGAAACAGCTTGGCGGATGGTGCGGTCAGAGTATCCGTTCATCCTGAGGGCCCGATGTACATGTCTTAATTCACTGGCCAGGTGGTGTTGGTCAGAAATGCCATGGGCTCTGTGGTATAGCGTTTTGATGAGATAATTCTTTTGAGATGGGTGGTGGTGGGAATCCGGTTTCAAGTAGGAATCTGTGTGGGTGGCTTTCCTGTAGACAGAATGTCCCAAAGATCCGTCAGGTCTCCTCTCAAACAGAATATCCAAGAATGGTAGTTTACCATCTTTCTCCACTTCCATGGTGAATCTAAAGGATGGGTGTCTAGAATTTATGTGGTCCAAGAAGTGGTTCAATGCTGGGAGGCCATGTGGCCAGATGACGAAAGTGTCATCCACATACCTCTTCCACAGGGAAGGACGCAGGGTGGATGTCTGGATGGCGTCTGATTCAAACTTTTCCATGAACATGTTGGCTATAACTGGTGACAAGGGGGAGCCCATAGGGGTACCCTCATTCTGTTTGTAGAAGGTGCCATTCCAGGTAATATAGGTGTTGGTGAGGCAATGCCTAACCAGCGCAGGTACATCAGAATTCAATCCATGTTGGACCAAGTCCTCAATTATTGTTAGGGTGTCCGGTACTGGGACTTTGGTAAACAAAGATACTACATCAAAACTGACGAGGATGTCATCAGGAGATAGTACCATGTCCTTAACTATAGAGACTAATTGGGTTGAGTTGAGTACTGCCGAAGAGGTCTTGCCTGTGAAGGGGAGCAGAGTGTCTGATAGAAAACGGGATAGTTTGTACGTAGGAGAGTTTATCGTCGACACGATGGGTCGTAGCGGGGTGCCTTTTTATGGATCTTGGGAAGACCATAGAGTCTGGGAGGTCTAGCCGCCGATGGTTTTAAAGAGGGTCGTTGGCTTGGTTCGATTAGGGAAGTCGAACTCGTGATGATACTGTTGGTTTTTGTCGTTAGGCTTTTAGTGGGATCGTTTTTAATTTTGGAGTAACTCCCATCATTAAGAAGGTCCAGGATTTTGTTGTTGTATGAATCTTTATCCATGATGACCGTGGCATTGCCCTTGTCTGCCGAGAGGATGACTATATCATCTCTCTTTTTTAGGTCCGCGAGTTCAGAGCGTTCGTTTTTGCTGATGTTACTAGTGGGTTTCTTAGCATTCTTAAGAATAGTAGCTATTTCAGCTCTTGCTACATCCGCATGGATGTGTCCTATGCCTCTGAGGGCTACATCAATCTGAGAAATCACATCCTCTACTGGTATATGTTTAGGGGTGACGGCGAAATTTAGTCCTTTGGCCAGTACCGTTTTTAGATTGTCAGAAATTGGGATGTTACTCTGATTAATCAGATTTTCTGACAATCTAAAAACGGTACTGGCCAAAGGACTAAATTTCGCCGTCACCCCTAAACATATACCAGTAGAGGATGTGATTTCTCAGATTGATGTAGCCCTCAGAGGCATAGGACACATCCATGCGGATATAGCAAGAGCTGAAATAGCTACTATTCTTAAGAATGCTAAGAAACCCACTAGTAACATCAGCAAAAACGAACGCTCTGAACTCGCGGACCTAAAAAAAGAGAGATGATATAGTCAACCTCTCGGCAGACAAGGGCAATGCCACGGTCATCATGGATAAAGATTCATACAACAACAATATCCTGGACCTTCTTAATGATGGGAGTTACTCCAAAATTAAAAACGATCCTACTAAAAGCCTAATGACAAAAACCAACAGTATCATCAGGAGTTCGACTTCCCTAATCGAACCAAGCAAACGTCCCTCTCTAAAACCATAGGCGGCTAGACCTCCCAGACTCTATGGTCTTCCCAAGATCCATAAAGAAGGCACCCCGCTACGACCCATTGTGTCGACGATAAACTCTCCTACGTACAAACTAGCCCGTTTTCTATCAGATACTCTGCTCCCCTTCACAGGCAAGACCTCTTCGGCAGTACTCAACTCAACCCAATTAGTCTCTATGGTTAAGGACATGGTACTATCTCCTGATGACATCCTCGTCAGTTTTGATGTAGTATCTTTGTTTACCAAAGTCCCAGTACCGGACACCCTAACAATAATTGAGGACTTGGTCCAACATGGATTGAATTCTGATGTACCTGCGCTGGTTAGGCATTGCCTCACCAACACCTATTTTACCTGTAATGGCACCTTCTACAAACAGAATGAGGGTACCCCTATGGGCTCCCCCTTGTCACCAGTTATAGCCAACATGTTCATGGAAAAGTTTGAATCAGACACCATCCAGACATCCACCCTGCGTCCTTCCCTGTGGAAGAGGTATGTGGATGACACTTTTGTCATCTAGCCACATGGCCTCCCAGCATTGAACCACTCCTTGGACCACATCAATTCTAGATACCCATCCATTAGATTCACCATGGAAGTGAAGAAAGATGGTAAACTACCATTCTTGGATATTCTGTTTGAGAGGAGACCTGACGGATCCTTGGGACATTCTGTCTACAGGAAAGCCACCCACACAGATTCCTACATGAAACCGGATTCCCACCACCACCCATCTCAAAAGAATTCTCTCATCAAAACGCTATACCACAGAGCCCATGGCATTTCTGACCAACACCACCTGGCCGGTGAATTAAGACATGTACATCGGGCCCTCAGGATGAACGGATACTCTGACCGCACCATCCGCCAAGCTGTTTCTCCCACCATAGAGAAACAGCCACATGAAACGCCTACCAAAACTATCACGTTACCATACATAGCAGGCGTGACCAAAAAGATCTCCAAAATTCTAAACAAACATAAGATCCAAGTCCGATTCAGTACAATGCATAAAATCCGTGATCTGATTCCATTTGTGAAGGATGTCGTTCCTGACTTACAGTATCCTGGAGTCTACAAATTGAGTTGCAGTTGTGGTGATTGCTACATTGGAGAAACGAAACGTCATGTTACTGATCGTGTCCGTGAGCACAAGTCAGATCTGAAACACGGCAGAACTGATTCTTCGGCCATTGCCAATCATTGCTACAACTCTGTGGGCTCTCATGAAATTGTCTTTTCTGAGACCAAGGTGCTCTGCAAACCTCCTGGCTACCATCAAAGGTTTGTACACGAAGCCATACAAATATACAAACACAGACATAATTTCAACCGTGATGATGGTTACAAACTGAGTAATCATTGGAAAGATGTGATTAACCATGCAAAAAGATTTAACTACACTTATTTGGACCATCTTATTTGACAGAAAACTATTGCAGGTTACTGATGGACAGCCAGTTTTGTTTTACCAGGTTTAGCTTTCTACCAGGTTTAGCTTTCTTTTTTCACACTTTTGTTATGTAGGCTAGGCGTAGTCACAAACCGAACCTCTCCATAATAAAGGCTCAGTCTTTTGTTATGCAGTCTATTCATAGTCTCAAACCGCACCTTACCATAATAATAAAAATGGGCCATTCCCCCCCCCCCTCAACCATTATATATACGGAGTGGTATCTCCTGTAATCTCTCATTTACTTGATACAGCTGTCGGGCTGTGACGGTTCCACCTGAAGACGGAGGCTTGTGTTGCCTCCGAAACGTCGTGATTTTTATTTTACTTTTATTAATTTTAATTTTTTACCTACGTGACTTTACCGAAAACACCTAAGAATATGAAAATGCCAAACTGGCTATCTATATGGCCAGCAAATGCGAAATCTAAGGAAGTGGCCTATCCAGCCACTGTCGCATCTTGAAGGCGCTGGTTTCTACCAGAATTTGGCTGGAATTTCGGTACGCTCATTCGACGGGGGTATCACATATTTGTTGACACGTTGGACTACCGAGGGTGGTTTGTGTAATGTGACGAATGCAGGGGATCTGGTAATGGGGTTTAGAAGTTGGAATTTTCTTGTTGATGTCTATGAACACAGTCGCACACAATGGGATTCGTGTTACACGGGAAAACCGTGTGATATCTTCGATTTTAAAAAGGGGCACAAATGCAAACAAACAAAAAAATTAGGGATGGAGGGAGGGAGGGAGTCTAATGGGGATCGACCTTCTCCACCTTCCGGGGCCCTGAGTTGGCTCACAGCAAACCCGGTTGCCTCGCGCAGAAGAAAGTCCACGCACAAACGGTTTTGAAATCAACGTGAATTTAGAATTGACATTTTATTTAAATTAAGAAAATATCATAGTAAAATATTTGTTTCTTTTATAATTGCATTGTCATCGATTGAATAGTTTTTTTTTGTGTCCCCAGAATGTCTAATCTGTTTTTTTTCTTCTTTTGGCTCATTTGCATTGCTCGTATCCACGCTGCTCAACACCCACGCCGACATAAAGCTGCAACTCAACTGCAGCGATGTGCAAAGTCCATCAAGGAGCACGCCACGACAAAGTGCAATTGGTGTGGATTACATCTCAGGTAGCCATAACTACGGTACACGTGAGCTCACACACACCCAATCCCCATCATACCCCCATTAAAACCACTAAAGTGCACCCCATCCACAGGTCACACACGCCCCGTGACAAAGCCAGGCCACACACATTTCGCGAACGACACCACCATAAACGACGCGCCCCACACACTCGCCAACAAGCACGACACCAGGACACATGGGACACCCTGCGAGATGACTTAGCACGCATCCCACTTAAAGCACGTGGGGGTCGTGCAACAAAAAAAACCCACCGACAGGGACACGCCACGCGAGGCTTCTCTGAAACTTGAGTTGGACAGAAGGCTTCACAGTTTGGAAGTTTTCAAGACGCTGAAGGAGCAGCGAACGCTGCAGCCGTGACTAGGGGAGTCGAGTTCACGATGGTGATGGTGGACGGTATTGATTCGTAGCCACCTTGGTGAGTAACAACATTCGCATTCGACAGGAACTGTAGATGTCACGTCGAATCGATGGGTTACAAAGTAGTATGTGAATGCCTTTGATGCAGAGCCGTGTGTGTGTGATATTCAGCGGGACCTTCACGGTGTGGATCTGGGCTGTGGTTTTGCTCCACTGCTACCCATGCGTTGTCGCTCAATGACCGGTCTGGAGTGCACCCGTACCTTGTCACTAAAGGTTTTGTTGGTTGATTTTCTGTTTGTATTTGAAGCTAACGATATAAACATGAAGGTAATATGTATGCATTTTGCATATTATGTAATGACATACCTGCCACAGAAAATACTTTTCTTTTAATTTGAAACACCTAGACAAATATAACACTGCTAAAGAAATGCACGCAGTCATCTACAGACCTCACCTACAGTAGCGGCTACACACAGTGGAATGTGAGACTTGGGCTGGGAGGGTTGCAGCGCCAGCTCACGGTGGGCATGGGTCAGCAGACTCAGGGGCCTTGAAGTTCGTGGGTCAGGAGACTCAGGGGCCTTGAAGCTCATGGGTCTGGAGAATCAAGAGCCTGGAAGCTCCTAGGTCTGGAAACTCAGCGGCCTGCAAGCTCCTGCCTCATTTCCACAGGACATTTAATGCCAGATCCTGGCCACGCTGGTTCCATCCGAGTTCTGCGAGTCCCAAAATCTTTACAAGTGGGTCCAAGTCACCCCACACACTAGGCCCATAGCCCTTGGAAACCATGGAAAAATTCACCGCGAGCTCCCAGCAGTCATCCTCAATCAAAAACCAAACTGTGTTTGTGTAAAAACTAAACGGTTAAAATGCCACAAAGAATACCGGTTAATTATCAACAATAACAAAATATAGGCCAACTTAACGAACCAACACTTTTCCCGAAGGTACGTTTATAGAACATTGCTTTTCGACCGCTGATCCCATGACCTCACCGAGACCGCTAGCCCAGTGATGGAGCCCCTCCTGGGGTTTGGACACCAGGTACACAAGAGAGAGGAGAGAATGGAGAGAGAGGAGCAGAGAGCGAGAGTTGTGGTGGGATGGCACCGGATCCAATCGACGGGCCCGCCCCGTCAGTCTTCTGGGACAAACCTACGCACGCCGTGGAGGCTGGCAGCATCGTGGGCCCAGGTTTTACCAGCACCTCTGGTGGCGCTTATAGACATTGTGCGAATGGAAATGGTCTCGTGTGCGGTGCCCGCAGGGCGAAGACGTCGAGCGTCCCTCAAGGGACCAATCAGAGAGAACGGGGCATCCTTTGTCGGTCTGTCATTAACACAGCGCCCTTGAAAGGAAATGATAGGCGACGTTTCGAGCAGCGGCCCTTCTTCACAGCACACAATCAGCAAATCGCCATTCGCGCGCATATATCGTTGCCTCTATGAATAGGAACCATTGCCTGGGACGTCCCCGATTGTATATTTTTTTGCACTTATAGGCCACGGTGTTATTGACCAACGTGTAGAGTTGTGGTGTTGCTAGTTGCCGCCTGTGCACCACTGCAGCAGCAGCAGTGGCGAATAACCCGCGTAACGTCCACAGAGCAAGTCGCCCTGCATGTGTGGTGACGTGGCAGTGCACCTGGGGGGCAAAGGTTAAGGGTTAGGGTATCGTTCTAAATCTCGATTGAAGGCGAAGATTTGTCAGATATTTGACGGAGATGGCCCACTTCCTTTTCAAGCCCTTTTCTCTCGGCCGAATGTCATCACCCAACCCCAGACGCTGGAGCAGTAAAAGCCGCGGGCCAGGCGCCTCATTGGGGATTTGCGGTGTCCTGTCTCGGGGTGAACGCAGTTGGGCTCAGCTTGGGAGCCGGCAGATTCCCGTGGGTTTCCAGTTTCAGCTGCGGATTTCCAAAGCCCGGCCATTGCCGACGAACAACAGAGAGCGGGCACGGCTAAGAGTGGGGCAGTGAGGACCTGACGATCTCACGCTTCCCGTGGACGGAATCGCAGGGGGAAGCTTTCGCGTAGCCCGGAGGGGCAGACAACGATTCTATAACATGTTTGGCTGGAATAACATTGTTTGACAAAAACAACAGCCGCCAATCTTGCCACTAAGTAATGGTGACATCACCACCACCACAGCACATATGCCACGCTAGGTGCACACTGCACACACACAAACGCTGTATGCCGCTGGGCTACAGGGGGTTAGACCTCGCCACTGCTCTAATGCTACCTGATAGTTGATAGGTCACGCGGGGATTGTGGTTTTGTATAAGTAGGTTGGTATAGAAAGTGGGTCACTGCCTTAATTGTGCAGTTTTCTAAGTGTACTGTGCAGCAATTTCATTCCACATGTCCCAAGTGGTCCAACAAATACACGATATTCAGGTGCAGCAGGAATTATAACTGTTTATCATAAGTTCCTGCAGCTTTTGTTATTATTACTGCTGTCGTTACATTCCTGTTATTGTTGTTGCATCTGCAACTGTCTATTTTAGTAAGATTATTTTATCTATTTTGCCGTTTTTTTTATATATAAAATGAAGCATTGGTTGTAACGCTAAACATATATAAGTAAGAAATGTCACTTCGTAAACCATTGCATTGCAGGGCATTTCATTAAGATGCGCGTGCGATCGTCTCTCCGACGAAGGTGACGCCGGGAAAGATGCGAATGCATTTCTTCCGGAGCAAACCCGCAGTCAACCCTCCTCCTCCTTCACAGGCTCGCTGCCTCGCCGAGGGTTGGAAAGGTCAACGTGGGTCATACTGGGGGGGGGGGCTGCGAAGATTCCAATCACTGCACAAACCTCCAGCTGGTTCGTATCTGCGAGGGCTACGTGAGGGGCCGGGCTGCCATGCGACCTCAACTGGACAACGGCCTTGAGGCAATCTGTGGAGAACCGGAACGGCCAATTGGAAGGGCAAAGTCGCTCAATTTTGATGACGACGTTTTGGTCAAATATGGTGATCGAGATGTGAATGATACCCCTCATGAGGTTACCAACTGGGCTGCAAATACCGGAAAAGTGTCATTTGTGAGAGAGGGATATGGGCAGAAGGCGAGTGAAGCGAGTTGGGTGTTTAGTGATGGGAGAGTGAGTGATGGTGGAGGAGAGTGAGTGATGGTGGAGGAGAGTAAGTGATGGTACAGGAGAGTAAGTGATGGTGGAGGAGAGTGAGTGATGGTAGTGGAGAGTAAGTGATGGTAGTGGAGATGAGAGGTGACGTGATGTGTAGTGGAGAGTGAGTGATGAGGAGTCCGGATAGTAGTGATGTTATTGGAGAGGAGTGGATGGTAGGAGGAGAGTGAGTGATGGTAGTGGAGAGTGAGTGATGGTGGAGGATGAGTGATGATGGTAGTGGAGAGAGTGAGTGCTGGTAGGAGGATGAGTGAGTGATGGGTAGTGGAGAGTGAGTGATGGGAGAGAGTGAGTGATGGGAGTGAGAGTGAGTGGTGGAGGAGGTGATAGTGATGTGGTAGAGGGAGGAGTGAGTGATGGGAGTGGAGGAGTGGAGTGATGGAGTGGAGGTGAGTGATGGTAGTGGAGAGTGAGTGATGGTATGTGGAGAGTGAGTGATGGGAGTGTAGAGTGAGTGATGGTAGTGGAGAGTGAGTGATGGTAGTGGAGAGTGAAGTGATGGGTAGAGGATAGTGAGGAGTGGAGAGGAGTGACGTGATGGGAGTGGAGAGTGAGTGATGGTAGTGGAGAGTGACGTGGATGGGGGATGGGAGGAGTGAGTGATGGGTGGAGAGTGAGAGGGGGAAGTGATGGTGGAGGAGAGTGAGTGATGGTAGTGGAGAGTGAGTGATGGTAGTAGTGAGAGTGAGTGATGGTAGGGGAGAGTGAGTGATGGGAGTGGAGAGTGAGTGATGGTAGTGGAGAGTGAGGAGTGGATGGTGGAGTGAGAGGGAGTGATGGTAGGGGAGAGTGAGTGATGGTAGTGGATGATGAGTGACTGGTAGGGGAGGGAGGATGGTGGAGGAGGTGAGTGATGGTCGGGAGAGCTGAGTGATGGTGAGTGGAGAGTGAGTGGATGGTGGAGGAGAGTGAGTGATGGTGGAGTGAGAGTGAGTGGATGGTAGTGGAGAGTGGTGATGGTAGTGAGGAGAGTGAGTGATGGTAGGAGGAGAGTGAGTGATGGTAGTGGAGAGTGAGTGATGGTAGGGGAGAGTGAGTGATGGTGAGAGAGTGAGTGATGGTGAGTGGAGAGGTGAGTGATGGTAGTGGAGAGTGAGTGATGGTGGAGGAGAGTGAGTGATGGTAGGGAGAGTGAGTGATGGTAGTGGAGAGTGAGTGATGGTAGTGGAGAGTGAGTGATGGTAGATTGAGAGTGAGTGATGGTAGTGGAGAGTGAGTGATGGTAGTGGAGAGTGAGTGATGGTAGATGCGAGTGAGTGATGGGAGTGGAAGTGAGTGATGGTGGTGGAGAGTGAGTGATGGTGGTGGAGAGTGAGTGATGGGAGTGGAGAGTGAGTGATGGTAGTGGAGAGTGAGTGATGGTAGTGGAGAGTGAGTGATGGTAGTGGAGAGTGAGTGATGGTAGAGGAGAGTGAGTGATGGGAGATGGAGAGTGAGTGATGGTATGGAGAGTGAGTGATGGTAGTGGAGAGGAGTGATGGTAGTGGAGAGTGAGTGTGGTGTAGAGGGAGTGAATGATGGTGGAGGAGAGTGAGTGATGGTAGTGGAGAGTGAGTGATGGTAGTGGAGAGTGAGTGATGGTAGTGGAGAGTGAGTGATGGTAGTGGAGAGTGAGTGATGGTAGAGGAGAGTGAGTGATGGTAGTGAGAGTGAGTGATGGTGAGGAGAGTGAGTGATGGTAGAGGAGAGTGAATGATGGTGGAGGAGAGTGTGAGGTAGTGGAGAGTGAGTGATGGTAGTGGAGAGGAGTGATGGTAGTGGAGAGTGAGTGATGGAGTGGAGAGTGAGTGATGGTAGAGGAGAGTGAGTAATGGTAGTAGAGGAGAGTGAGTGATGGTAGTGGAGAGTGAGTGATGGTGGAGGAGAGGGAGTGATGGTAGTGGAGAGTGAGTGATGGTAGTGGAGAGTGGAGTGATGGTAGTGGAGAGTGAGTGATGGTAGTGGAGAGTGAGTGATGGTGGAGGAGAGGAGTGATGGTAGTGGAGAGTGAGTGATGGTAGGAGGAGTGAGTAATGGTAGAGGAGAGTGAGTGTGGTAGTGGGAGAGTGAGTGATGGTAGTGGAGAGTGAGTGGATGGTAGTGGAGAGTGAGTGATGGTAGTGGAGAGTGAGTGATGGTAGTGGAGAGTGAGTGATGGTAGAGGAGAGTGAGTAATGGTAGAGGAGAGTGAGTGATGGTAGTGGAGAGTGAGTGATGGTGGAGGGGGAGAGTGAGTGATGGTAGAGGGGTGAATGATGGTGGAGGAGAGTGAGTGATGTAGTGGAGAGTGAGTGATGGTAGTGGAGAGTGAGTGAGGGGTAGTGGAAGTGGAGTGATGGGAGGGAGAGTGAGTGATGGTAGAGGAGAGTGAGTAGGTAGAGGAGAGTGAGTGTGGTAGTGGAGAGTGAGTGATGGTGGAGGAGAGTGAGTGATGGTAGTGGAGAGTGAGTGATGGTAGTGGAGAGTGAGTGATGGTAGGGGAGAGTGGTGATGGAGAGTGAGTGATGGTGGAGAGAGTGAGTGATGGTACAGGAGAGTAAGTGATGGGAGTGGAGAGTACAGTGATGGTAGTGGAGAGTGAGTGATGGAGAGGAGAGTGAGTGATGGTAGTGGAGAGTGAGTGATGGTGGAGGAGAGTGAGTGATGGTAGTGGAGAGTGAGTGATGGTAGAGGAGAGTGAGTGATGGTAGTGGAGAGGGAGTGATGGTGGAGGAGAGTGAGTGATGGTAGTGGAGAGTGAGTGATGGGAGTGGAGAGTGAGTGATGGTAGAGGAGAGTGAGTGATGGGGTGGGAGAGTGTGATGAGTGAGTGATGGGAGTGGAGAGTGAGTGAGTGATGGTAGATGAGAGTGAGTGATGGAGTGGAGAGTGAGTGATGGTAGTGGAGAGTGAGTGATGGTAGTGGAGAGTGAGTGATGGGAGTGGAGAGTGAGTGATGGTAGTGGAGAGTGAGTGATGGTAGTGGAGAGTGAGTGATGGTAGAGGAGAGTGAGTGATGGTAGAGGAGAGTGAGTGATGGGAGTGGAGAGTGAGTGATGGTAGTGGAGAGTGAGTGATGGTAGTGGAGAGTGAGTGATGGTAGAGGAGAGTGAGTGATGGTAGTGGAGAGTGAGTGATGGTAGTGGAGAGTGAGTGATGGTAGAGGAGAGTGAGTGATGGTAGTGGAGAGTGAGTAATGGTAGAGGAGAGTGAGTGATGGGAGTGGAGAGTGAGTGATGGTAGAGGAGAGTGAGTAATGGTAGAGGAGAGTGAGTGATGGGAGTGGAGAGTGAGTGATGGTAGAGGAGAGTGAGTGATGGTGGAGGAGAGTGAGTAATGGTAGTGGAGAGTGAGTGATGGTAGAGGAGAGTGAGTGATGGTGGAGGAGAGTGAGTGATGGTAGTGGAGAGTGAGTGATGGTAGAGGAGAGTGAATGATGGTGGAGGAGAGTGAGTGATGGGAGTGGAGAGTGAGTGATGGTGGAGGAGAGTGAGTGATGGTGGAGGAGAGTGAGTGATGGTAGTGGAGAGTGAGTGATGGGAGTGGAGAGTGAGTGATGGTAGAGGAGAGTGAGTGATGGGAGTGGAGAGTGAGTGATGGTGGAGGAGAGTGAGTGATGGTGGAGGAGAGTGAGTGATGGTAGTGGAGAGTGAGTGATGGGAGTGGAGAGTGAGTGATGGTAGAGGAGAGTGAGTGATGGTAGTGGAGAGTGAGTGATGGTGGAGGAGAGTGAGTGATGGTAGTGGAGAGTGAGTGATGGTAGTGGAGAGTGAGTGATGGGAGTGGAGAGTGAGTGATGGTGGAGGAGAGTGAGTGATGGTGGAGGAGAGTGAGTGATGGTAGTGGAGAGTGAGTGATGGGAGTGGAGAGTGAGTGATGGTAGAGGAGAGTGAGTGATGGTAGTGGAGAGTGAGTGATGGTGGAGGAGAGTGAGTGATGGTAGTGGAGAGTGAGTGATGGGAGTGGAGAGTGAGTGATGGTAGATGAGAGTGAGTGATGGTAGTGGAGAGTGAGTGATGGTGGAGGAGAGTGAGTGATGGTAGAGGAGAGTGAGTGATGGTGGAGGAGAGTGAGTGATGGGAGTGGAGATTAAGTGAGTGGAGGGTTTAGTGGTCAAATGGGATATGAGAATTGATGTGGAATGACTGTATATTCATCTGGGAATTTGTGTTGGTGTGGAGTGGATACAACTCGAGATTGCCTCCTCCTCTGCTTCACATCACGACCCAGGGTCTCTCACACGACCGCGTGTGTTCCGGCGCCCTGGGAGAGGCGCGGGTCAGAGGGCGGTGAGCATGATGCCCGCCTTGTCCTGAAGCATGGAGTCTGGGCTGCTCAGCGGTCCCAGGCTCCCACAGAGCGCCTCCTCCTCCGCTCCGGGATCGCCCCCTCGCTTCTCCACGCGCGCCACCATCAGCAGCTTAATCCGCTGTGAACAGCGCATTCGTAGCACCGAGCTCAGCGTGATGACGGAGAGAGAGAGAGAGAGAACGGCATATGCACCGCCGTCATGCATACGGTGCGAGTTTACAGGCCCATGATATGCGGGTACACACCAGGGACGTGCGGTCAGGGGAGGCAGGGGAGGCAGAGCCTCACCTGTCATACTCCAATAAAAACAGCTGTTACGAAAAGTAAAAAAAAAGAATAAAACAAATATTAAGATTTTTTCCACTCATTTGTGTTCTAAATGTTATTTCTGTACGATTCTAATCATTTTTATAGTCAAAATCGCCAAATTTACGGAGCTCCCCTGCAAATACAGGAAGAGACGAGAGGTGAGGCAGCGACGAGCTCAGCCTCCCCTCTGATTGCGCAACCCCTCAGTAACTGGACGGAGCGCGGGCAATAAGCGCGTGCCTGTTACTATCTCAGTAAGTCACCAATGTAATGTTTTTAGACCCCTTCATTTCATGTCCTCGCCTTCCATACTCCAGGTAACTTATTTCACGTGTGCGTATAAATATATTTAGGCTCGCTAGTTTCGTCATGAAACTGCAATGAAAAAGCACCAGGGGAGGCAGCTATCACATCTGCCTCATCGAGGGGGACGTGTCTAACACGCCCCTCTCAGTGAGGCCACGCCCCCCTCAGTGTGTGAATCTGGCTCTGACACGAGCCAGTGCCTCCACAGCCATTAACCTCACCGCATGTCACTGGTGCACACGGCACGGGTCATGGTGTCTGGATACACATAGCACAGGTCAGGATGTGCAGGTAAACATTGAACGGGTCATCACGTGTGGATACACATGGCACAGCTGATGGTGTGTGGGTACACATGGCACAGATGATGGTGTGTGGGTACACATGACACAGCTGATGGTGTGTGGGTACACATGGCACAGATGATGGTGTGTGGGTACACATGACACAGATGATGGTGTGTGGGTACACATGACACAGCTGATGGTGTGTGGATACACATGGCACAGCTGATGGTGTGTGGGTACACATGGCACAGCTGATGGTGTGTGGGTACACATGGCACAGATGATGGTGTGTGGGTACACATGGCACAGATGATGGTGTGTGGGTACACATGGCACAGCTGATGGTGTGTGGGTACACATGGCACAGATGATGGTGTGTGGGTACACATGACACAGCTGATGGTGTGTGGGTACACATGGCACAGCTGATGGTGTGTGGGTACACATGGCACAGCTGATGGTGTGTGGGTACAGATGGCACAGCTGATGGTGTGTGGGTACACATGGCACAGATGATGGTGTGTGGGTACACATGACACAGCTGATGGTGTGTGGGTACACATGGCACAGCTGATGGTGTGTGGGTACACATGGCACAGCTGATGGTGTGTGGACACACATGGCACAGCTGATGGTGTGTGAGTACACATGGCACAGCTGATGGTGTGTGGGTACACATGGCACAGCTGATGGTGTGTGGACACACATGGCACAGCTGATGGTGTGTGGACACACATGGCACAGCTGATGGTGTGTGGGTACACATGGCACAGATGATGGTGTGTGGGTACACATGGCACAGCTGATGGTGTGTGGACACACATGGCACAGCTGATGGTGTGTGAGTACACATGGCACAACTGATGGTGTGTGGGTACACATGGCACAGCTGATGGTGTGTGGACACACATGGCACAACTGATGGTGTGTGAGTACACATGGCACAGCTGATGGTGTGTGGATACACATGGCACAGCTGATGGTGTGTGGGTACACATGGCACAGCTGATGGTGTGTGGGTACACATGGCACAGATGATGGTGTGTGGGTACACATGGCACAGCTGATGGTGTGTGGATACACATGGCACAACTGATGGTGTGTGAGTACACATGGCACAGCTGATGGTGTGTGGGTACACATGGCACAGCTGATGGTGTGTGGATACACATGGCACAACTGATGGTGTGTGAGTACACATGGCACAGCTCATGGTGTGTGGGTACACATGGCACAGCTGATGGTGTGTGGGTACACATGGCACAACTGATGGTGTGTGAGTACACATGGCACAGCTGATGGTGTGTGGGTAAACACGCGGCTAATGCCTCCATTACCAACAAGGGGGGGGGGGATGAATCATCAAAGCGACGCAATTGGACCATTCCAGTGAAGATGGAAATCTTGGCGCAGAGCGTTTATCGTTTCATTTAACACGTAGGCTTTCACGACCAATATTATTCATAATATAGGTTTTTGGGTCAGATCGCGTTATTTATAAATGTGTCGTAACCCTCCACCACCCAACACGGCCAAACAGTAAAAATGTGTCACGTTTTTCAAAGGACAAAATAATTCACTTCTTTAGTCCACCGGTGTGCTGAAGAGAGAATCAACAGCATGTTATCGTTTGCGCGCGTGCACCACCGTCGGCACGACGGGTCGGAGCGTGCGGTCACCCCTCTGACCTTTACGAGCGGGCCCTCGGAGAGCAGGACCTGCACAATGAAGAACCCCGGGATGCAGAGCATCGACGAGAGGGCCATGGCCCAACCCAAGCCCTGAGCCCAGTCGGGGTACAGGTACGTCTTGTTGTAGGTGAGCGGCGTGTACTTCACCAGCGAGAACACGAAGCAAGCCTACACACGTGCGCACAAGGACGAAGATTACCCCGTGTGTAGCCTTTAGCGAGTAACACCTCCTCGGCACACGAGGGGTTGGGTGGCCGACACCACGCCCGGCCGGCTTTGTCTCCCCAGTGGCGATGTTTGCACACCGTACCAGGTACTCATTTGAGTCTGAGTCGACCTAGCGGATGCCCAGGACCGGTTCGGATAATCGTCACCGGTGTTAGTCGTGAGTAGGAATTGAACCGGGGACACCGGGTTCAGCGCGCTAGCCGCTACACTACCGCTTACCCACACACGCACGTACACGCACACAGACGCACACAGGCACACACGCGCACACGCACACACGCACGCGCACACACACACAGACGCACACACACAGACGCGCACACGCACACACGCACACAGGCACACACACACACAGACGCGCACACCCACACACACGCACACAGGCACGCACACACACGCACACACAGACGCGCACACACACACGCATACACGCACACACACGCACACACAAACACACAGACGCACGCACCGCCGTGAGACCCCCCGCGCCGGCGCACAGAGATCCGCGCGGCCGTTGCGTCTGGACCGGCCAAGTCGCCCCTCGGCTCTGGGCAGCTCACCGGCGTGGGGATCGTGAAACTCGATAGTCGCATTTTTATTTTTACAGCCAACGAAATTCCACGGCGGCGGCCGCCGCCTCCGCAAGCTGCCAGGCACGCGGGCATCCGCGAGCCAACAACAAACTCGACGCGTGGCGGTGCGGTGTGGTGTGGTGGACGTTGTCGGGTGAACACGTGGCGAAGCGACCCCCACGCGGTTCCGCGCCTTCTCGCGCAATCGGCATCCGCTGCCTCTCTAGCCCCGACACTCACGATGGAGGACTGCAGCCCGCTCCCCACACTTCCCACCCATTCTCGTAGCGGCTGTCACTGGCAAAATAATGCAACCCGACGATGATTTACAGCAGCGGTCGGGAACCTATGGCTCTTCTGGTGACGGCATATGGCTCCCAGACAATTTTGTTGTTGAAAAAAATACAAAAATCAGTTTGGAACTGATTTTAAAATACTTGTGATATTGCTTAATAATACTGTGTCATTTTAAAGTAAACAGAAATTAGTTTTGAAGATAAATTTCACGGGGCCTCAACGCCTGCATGAAGCTCAACCTCACCACGTACGAACCAGACTACAAGGCCATCATCAAAACCATGCAGCACCAGAAGTCGCATTAAAAGTAAGACATATTTAAAGTATTATACGTAAAAAATACTATATGGCTCTCAATGCAATATATTTAGAAATATTTGGCTTTTATGGCTCTCCCGGTCAAAAAGGTTCCCGACCCCTGATTTACAGCGTTCCCTCGTTGTTCGCGAACTCGACATCTGCGATTTTGGCGATCCGCAAATCGCATCTGGAGTGATGAAATATAAAGTAATGTGATGAGTTTCGATGTAAAGCTTTCGTGACTGCAGGGATTCATCTTCTTGGTTCTTTCGGTAAAGTCACGTAGAAGGGAAATAATAAATAATAAAACATTTGAAAAATACAATTTTATTTTATTATGTTTTATTTATATTATTTTATTATTTCCCTTCTACGTGACTTTACCGAAAGAACCAAGACGATAATGTGATGAGGTAAAGTGATGAAAGATAAAGTGATGAGAGATGATGTGATAAGATAAAGCCATGAGAGTTAAAGTGATTAGAAATTAAGTGATGAGAGAAAGTGATGATGCATAGCATCATAATTTATGGTACGTCCATTTGTAAACTATTGATTAATACTTAATTTATTTTCTTTGCTCATTTTTTTATATGATTATGATCATTTGCATGTATTTAATAGCCTATTATACTGGTAGGAACGAAGTGAACCAGCCTACAATAGATTATATCGTCCGTCCATCGGATGTCCGATTAGGTGTAGCAACATCGCCCCCTACTGCAAACACTTGGCAGGACCCTACAAAAACCTTTAGACTCAGTGAGGCTTTCCTGGCTAAACAAGTGTAACATTCCCTTATAATTCCCTGAGATAGTTTTTAATTAAAACATTTAAATAAAAAATTAACTCACAGCGGCCTAAAGCCTACAGCTAGGCCTAAAGCCTAGAAATAGGCCTCAAACTCTCCCTTCGTATCGTACCCCCGCCATTTCATTTTATTATAGCCATTCATTTGTTCGTTCCTACCAGCCCACCCCGCAGGGACCTGTTACATTTATTTGAGGTAATTAGTAATGAGGTAACACCGCATGTTTACGTAGCGACGTCGCTCATTCGAATCGTAACTTTAAAAACGAGGCAGATTTTTGTTTACGTGCCCAGTTTCGCACGGGCACGCGGGAAACCGCGTTCAAGTGGGAAAGTAGCCAGACTTGTGCCCACAATTTCCCAAGCTCTGTCGTCCTCTATCGTGTGTTTTCCCGACTCTGTTGCCAACTTCAGTCGTGAGCGAGGACACGCATGGGAGGAAACCAGCGGACCCGGAGAAACCCCACTCGTGTAAGGAGGAGGGGGGGGGAGGTCACACTCAATCACAAAGAGATACAACACCGGTGGATATGAACCTCCTCGCTGAATTGCCATACCCTGGGCAAGCCAGGAGATGGCGTCGCCAATTGTTGGCTGCCGACTTTCACGAACGTTTGCGATTCGCCTGCGGAGTTCCCGGGAGGCGCTCGTCGACGTGCTACACGAGGCGCTGGGGCCCCGCGAGCGAGTGAGTGAGCGTGCGGGAACCTCACCACGCACAGGATGGGCGTGATGACGGACCAGCTGATCCGCATCCACGGGTTCGGCCGGTACCCGATCATGTCCTCCACCACGTCGTAGAAGCGGTCGGCACCTGCGCGCAACGCGCAGACGCACGCGCGCACCCGAGGCGACTTGAGCCCACGACGCATGGACGCGCGCGCGCGCAATTCGGGATGAATGTCACGCTTCACATTTGCGCTGTTCTCATAGCGAGCGCGGGTGCTGTCGCCGCAAAGGCGCTGCCGTGTGGCACAGGCACGGTCTGCAGTGGTGTCACCGGGCGCAGGGCCCTATTATCCAATAGGCACAGTGCCGAGGGCAAACGAAAACTAAAGGGTCAACGAAAACTAAATTTGACCGTGTTTTTTTGTTTGCATGATTTAAAATTTTTTTTAACCAAGATATCTTCTTGAATAAATGTATTTCTATAGAGTAAGGATGGGCACAGTGTTTGAAATTAAATCAGCCTATCTGCGGCACACAGCGCGCTTCCATCGAATGAGGGCACAGGCTGAACAATGAACGCATCAGCAGTAACGACATCTGCCCGGCGGCTGGACGAAGTACCGCGTGAGACAAGCGGAGTGACAGCGGCGGTAGTCGTAATAAGGGGCAGCAGCAGTCCCAACTGTTGGTAAGTTATCGCTGAAGGCCGACGAAACAGAAGTGCCGAGGGCCGACAAGACGCGTGATCCGGCCCTGGCCGGAGGGGCGATGCTGCTGCTGCTGCTGCGTGTAATCCCATATTGTGTAGTCTGCAGATAATATTACAAATTTGGCAGTGACGTTACACTCATACGCAATGTTAAACACGACGTGCCTTACATAAACCACACTGATAGACTACGTGAAACGAATGCCTTACCTAAGACATTACACAATGTGAAACACTTGCCTTACCTAAGACATTACACAATGTGAAACATTTGCCTTACCTAAGACATTACACAATGTGAAACACTTGCCTTACCTAAGACATTACACAATGTGAAACACTTGCCTTACCTAAGACATTACACATTGTGAAACACTTGTCTTGCCAACACAAACCGCACCGATACACATTGTGAAGCAGATTGCTTACTCACGCAAGACACACACCAATGCACAACTTGGATCGAATGCCTTATGAGCGCCGCGTTGACTCAAGGTTGGACGAGTGGTTTGGGTTTTTTTCTCCACGCGTTGCGTGCAGCCTGAGTAACCCTCCTTTGTTGTGTGTTTGGGGTTGGGGGACGGGGGGGGGCTGCCATTATCACGACGATGGAGAGGCACTGCATTGCTCCATTGATGCGAAGAAGCGTCTCCCAACGAGTTCTGGGAAACTATCGTTCTTGCGCTGTTGATTTCAAGCACATTTGCCCATTGCTATATCGCCACGGTTGGCGAGGAGATGTTAACTACCGCGCCTGGTATACAGGAGGTCGTGGGTTCGATACCGACTCTGACGATGCCTGCTGCTGTATATGTGCAGTTTGCGTCTCTCTCTCTCCGTGGCTAGGAGATGTTAACTACCTCGCCTGGTATACAGGAGGTCGTGGGTTCGATCCCGACTCTGACGATGCCTGCTGCTGTATATGTGCAGTCTGCGTCTCTCTCTCCCCGTGGCTAGGAAATGTTAACTACCTCGCCTGGTATACAGGAGGTCGTGGGTTCGATCCCAACCCTGACGATGCCTGCTGCTGTATATGTGCAGTCTGCGTCTCTCTCTCCCCGTGGCTAGGAGATGTTAACTACCTCTCCTGATTTACAGGAGGTCGTATGTTCGATCCAGTCTCTGCCGCCTGTTGTCAACTATTTTGGGAATTGCCGCTGTCTCTCTTCCTGTGGTCGCGTGGATATTTCTCCGGGTCCTCCGGTTTTCCCTCCACATGTAGAAACACACGTTCAGAGTATTTGGCTGCTAAAAATGTCCACGTGATAAGCCACTTTATTGAGCTGTCATATGTGGCCACGTCGTGTCTGAAAAAGAGCTACATAGCTCAATGGGCCTTACCTGGTAACATTAAAAAAATAGTTGTAACTACTTTGGTGATGTGTTTAGAGGTACCGTCGTGTCTGGGTGGGTATCCTTAACCCCGCACGCTCCGTCTTGGTGTGTTCAGTGCCACGCAGGCGTGGCGCGTGTGCCAACGCACTCGCGTCTTGTGTGTGTGGTGTGTGTTGTGTGTGTTGTGTGTGTGGTGTGTGTGTGGTGTGTGTGGTGTGTGTGTTGTGTGTGTGGTGTGTGTGTGGTGTGTGTGGTGTGTGTTGTGTGTGGTGGTGTATGCGGTGCGTGTTGTGTGTGTGGGTGCGTCTTGTGTGTGTGGTGCGTGGTGGTGCATGCGGTGTGTGTGGGTCGTGATGGTGTGTGTAGTGCATGCGGTGCGTGTAGTGCGTGGTGATGCGTGAGGGCAGCCGCACCGTAGACCCAGGCCACAGCTGCACATTCGAAGAAGGCCACCCAGAGCAGACACACGCCGCTCGCCGCATAGTAATCGAAGAGCTGGAACACGTACATGCCCCCCTAGGACGAGGGCAGCAAGGACGCGTGTCAGAGTAGAAGCGCGCCCGGCGTGCCGCCTTCATTGAGACGCCGTGGTCGTGCGCAGCAAGCGGGCGTGTGGTGTCAAGTGAACGCCAAAGTACTCAGATTGTAAATGTTGTGGCTTGGCTCTCCAACACACCGGTTAGTGCTGTACTAGTAACAAATTGGCATGTTTTGTGTACGTGACAAACCTTACGAATTGGCTGTGTCGGGTGGTGGCGGGTTTAACAACACATTCATATGTACGCCATCTCACCCAACAACAAAACGATATTACAAAACCCCTGGTGCCTTCACCTCTGTGACCATTGGCAGGCCGAGCAGGAAGCTGGCGAAGCAGATGAGGGCGATGAATATTTCCCGGCGATGGCCCCGGCGGAGGAACGCCGGATTGAGGTCGACCAGTGACGTCACCTGGCCCTCAACCTCGACAAACTACACGGGCACGCACGGCTACGCGTTAGCCCAGCCCCCCACGTGAACGCGTGCAGAAGACAAATGGCACATTATTAAACATGCTATGTAAAGCACCGAACGAAGTAACCCAATTGTGACCGTTGTAGCCGCACAGTAAACCCCGTGACCGGGACTCTGACCTGGCTATCGAGGCCGAGGAGGATGAGCATCACGAAAAAGAGCACGGCCCAGAAGGTGGGGAAAGGCATCATGGAGACAGCCTTTGGGTAGGCGATGAACGCCAACCCGGGGCCTGTGCACACGAGAGAGAGAGCGCAAGCGCCATCGACGTCAGCACCACCAGACCCACCGTCGTTGTTGTCGTCATTGTCGTCGTCGTCATCGTCATCGTGGTCGTTTACAAGCCGTCAGCATGGAACTGCAGCCCAGCAACAGCTACAGGAGGGCCTCCACACGATTCTGACAAGTCGCCCCATGAAGGCGGTCGTCGTAAACCACCAGCGGAAACGTCATGGTACTCAGATTGTTAACGCTGCGGGTTTACGCTCCCAACACGCAGCTCGTGTGTTGAAGTAAAACACTAATGGGCACGTTTTGTGTTTCTGTGACAGACCTTACTATACAGGGACTCCTCTCCTCCTGAACGAGTTGGGTTCCAGAGGTCTGTTCGCAAGTCAATTTATTCGTAAGTTAAACTTTACTCCTGTCGATTCCAAACATGTTGTAAGGCTGGTGCATTAAATACAGGGAATGGCTTTAAAAGTTGTATAATCTCCCATAGATGCAGATGCCACTGGTTTTTCACATTCTGCAGATGTAGATGCCACTGGTTCTTCATGTTCTACAAATGTAGATGCCACTGGTTCTTCGCGTTTTGCAGATGTAGATGCCACTGGTTTTTCACGTTCCGCAGATGTAGATGCCACTGGTTCTTCATGTTCTACAGATGTAGATGCCACTGGTTCTTCACGTTCTGCATATGTAGATACCACCACTGCCATCTATTGCGTAGCGGTTGAACTTACGACTCTCAGCTCAAACAGGCAAATGGACATAGGGACACGTTTGTTCGTATCTCTGAAAGTTCGTAAGTTAAATCTTCGTAAGCAGAGGAGTCCCTGTAATTGACTGTGTCGGGTGGTGGAGGGGTTAACGACACATTTGTAATTACGCGATTACAAGTGAATCTGGCCGTGTGCCACTTTGGCCGTGCGTGCCGTGTGGCCGTGTCGGCACCTGACTCAGCTACGTCTGCGATGGGGAGGCCTTGCTCCTGCGCCATGAAGCCCAGCACCGAGAAGATGGCGAAGCCGGAGATGAAGCTCGTGCCGCTGTTGAGGCAGCCCAGAATGAGGCAGTCCCTACCGTGCACACACATGGGCACACACACGGGCACACACAGACACAGATATCCCCTTGATAGCCGCCACGGACGCTGTTGAGGACGGTGCTGTTCACAAAGATAAAGGACCCCCTGTCCCCGTATAGCCTGGAACAGACTGTTAGGGAAAGTGCTGTTGGCGAGCGCCTCTGAAGGCCCGGACAATACACGAATGGGTGGGGTGGCTCGCACCAGGTCCGACCGCCTTTGTGGCAATGTTTACACATCGCACCAGGTACCCATTTTGAGGCCGAGTCGACCTACGGGAGGCCCATGACGATGTAAGATATTCGTCACTGGTTGTTGGCCGTCAATGGGAATCGAACTCGGGTCGCTGGATTCGTAGCGTGGCGCGCTAACCACTACACCACCGCTCCCTACACACGCACATGTACAGATACGTACACACAAGAAGGGGTGGGGTGGCCCGCACCACGCCCGACCGCCTTTGTCTCCCCAGTGGCGATTATTTTACATCATTTGAGGCCGAATCCTGTCCACACACCACCACCACCAACACAACCCCAACCAACACTTCTCATGAAGGGGCAGTGACCTCGCCTATAATGCCATCCAGGTTGCACCTGGATACACATGCCCACGGGTTCATACACGAGGGAGAGCAGCAGAGCCGCCACCTGTGACAGCTCACTGAGGTGTTTCTAGGCACCGAACGCCC